AGTAGAAAGAGTAGGTAAGGAAAGGGGCAGACGGCTTGCTGCTTTAACTACCAACAAATTACGGCACATTTCTGTAGCTCACATATTTGAAGATGAAGGACCTGAATCTCAGGAGCGGGACCACGCCTCCAAACATGCTCCTTTTGGTTCTCATCTATACATGTTCCCCCAGTTCTACAAGCTCCTCAAATGAGGACGCGGGCCCAGCAGTGAATGAACAGTTACCACTAACATAACATTCAGAGATGATACTGATCCCACTGCTTACAGAGGGAGTTTACAGACACCATCTTACTGCATCACATTCACTAAACTCTTTCACAGATGTTTGTAAAGCAGACTGAAAGGCTCGGCGCTTGATTTTTATATACCTGCAGTAGTGGGAGTGCAGTGTGGGTTTGTATTGTGTTGTGGTGTAATACAGCAATGCTCTGAAGGACAGATGAGACAGGCTACCTTTAGTCCACCAATGTCTGCAGCAGATCCAGGGTCCACTCCAGTAATGTATATGCCCAGTCCATACTCAGCACCACCCCTGATCATTAGACCCAGAGATCGACCTCCTTCCATGTTCAGGTTCACCTTTAGGAAAGACAGGATATTCAGATCAATCTGTGTTGTTAGTAAACAAAGACTTACAGAAGAAAAGTTTGGAGGCAGAATAGTCAGAATAATAAACAGAGTTTAAAGAAACGTTCTTTCCTTGGAATCAACACATGAACAGCTGTGGTCAGCCTTTATGAGCCGTGGCCATCAAAGCTGAATGGAGGACTCAAAGGCAGACAAAACCCAAACAGTAATAGCAGAGTTAAGATCTTTATTTGGCTAAAAGTAAGGATTTGTTCACTGGACTGATGGGAACCAGGCATGTTGTATAGAGAGCTTTGAGTACTCCGGGAGAGTAGAAAAGCGCTATAAAAGAATCAGTCCAATTATCATTTACCATGGATTCTGTTTCTGATTGGTAAGAGTTATTCACACCAGTGGCCTGCGAGAGGTCATCCTGCAGGGCTGTGGCGATGCTCATGCTGTTGTTCCTTGCACAAGGACGGTTTAGGTTCAGTAGGGTTCAGGTATCACCTCATACTAGGAGTAGAGACACTGACCCTAACCAAGCACGAAAAAAAGAGTCAGAAAAGAGAAAGGTGGGTAAAGTGTCAGTGGCTGCAACCTGCTAAACTATTTCAGGTTTTGAGGTTGTATCACTGTTGCCTCTGTAGTGCACCTGTTGTTAATTTCATTAACTCCAAAGCAGCTGAAACTGGTGAACACTTCCCTCTGCTACTGATCTGACTGGGTCACTATCCTGGAAGTTTAATTCACTTCATGCTTTACTTTGATTAAAAAGTGTTCTTTTATTTTAGCAAAAATATATATAGCACCAATTCAAAGCAGTCACCTCCAAGCACGTAATGTTGTACAGACTCTGCAATATTAGAAACAACAACTTTCCCACCCATCATTTCAATACAAGCTAAAACTATATTAAATAATTCAGATGACATTATCTTTCCTCCATTTTGCCCCCTGCTGGTGAGATACCTGATTTACTGGCAGTGGATAGTTTGAGTGCTCAGGTAGAAAAGCTTTATTTAAATGCCAGTCCATTCATCTT